CGAATTCTTACTAACTTATAAATTTTACAATTATTCAACTTGTCATTATACGTATATTGCCAAAGCTATTGTGCGTTTTAAAATTATAACCATCGAATGAAGAATCCTGGTAATTTATTAATTTGAATTGAGATAATTTAATTAAATGTTATTTCATTTAAACTTTATAATAGTTTATTACTTCATTAAACAGGCTATATAAAATGTTATAGTAATACTTTCTATACTTATGCATTTGTATTAAAATAAGTTTACTGTTTATCTAACTATATATATATTTTATTATTTTATTTGCGTCAACCTAAAGTATGTGTATATAGGGATTAGATGGCGTTGTGTGCATTAGCCATGGTTATTATTATTATTATTTCACTTCCTTTATATAGTCTAAAAAGAAGGTAATACTCGCCCATGCGGACCTTAGCCAAGTGTAGGCGTTACACAATGAGAAAATGTTACAAATAAGGAAGTTAAATTTTTTCTAGTGATGCAGCAGGTGTCCGGAATTGAGTTCACAATTATTATTATGAAATATTCTTTGTACAGATATATTTATTTTCATCAAATTGTAATAGGGCTTTATACTTTAAACTACTCAACAATTTACAATGTATATCTTACACCCAGATGTATCTTGCAAGAAGTCACCGACCGCCAATTCTCAACGACAACTAACAAGAGGCTAGCGATAGCTAGCAAGTAGTATGCACTGACAAAGTGCTACATAATTTATTACAAGTGCACCAAAGTGCTCTCCTGCAATCCATTAATTCGCAATAAGCGAGTTCCGATTTAGGCAAGCCACATGTTCGTTCCCATACCTTCCTCTGATGCACGTGAGAGGTGTCTACTTACTCCTGCACTCCTAGTACCTCAATTTCGTAAAGCGAAGTAAATATATTATATAGTATATATATTTATTAAAATTTATTATAAATGGGAAAGTTTGTTAGCACGGATGGATAGATGAATGGATAATCGATGTTTGTTACTCTTTTGCGCAACAACTACTGAACCAATTTTGATGAAACTTTACACCTATAAATTTCATGAAGTTGAAACCGCGGGCACAGATAGTATTTAATAGTTACATGTAGAAACATTATAGAATATATAATATAAACACTGGATACAGTGAAAAGCTTTTAATTTTAAATTGAAAACAGTCACGTGAATTTAATTTATTTGTATAGAATTGTACCTCTGGTATATGTACCAGAAAGTCATAATAGTCAAAATATGAAACATAATTTGTAATAATACTTTCATCTGTAGAATATGATGAAACATGATGACTACCGAAATCGCCACCCCAAATGTTTGTAAATTATACTAATGCTAGAACAAGAATCACTCAAGAACCATTCAGCTTAGTTTCATTTCTTTGATTCAAATTCGCTTATCATTACGGAAAAGTATGGCCGCGTTCAAGAAATAGCTGACATGAATTAGACGGCCACTGACGGGACGGCATTTAAATCGCATACATCTATATATATATATATATATATATATATATATATATATATATATATATATATATCCACATTCTTGTGATTATTATTTACTACTGTACCCGCGAATTCGTCTACATAGTAAAGTGACTTTGACCAAATAATGAAAAAATACTCTCACCCAAAAGTTTTCCATATAAACTTTCAACCTCTATTTTATTAAGGGTAAATTTTTGACAAACTTTGAATGTCATATTTATTTATATTTAATCAACAGCTAAAAAATAATTTTCTACATAGATATTATAGGCGCTTCATAATATATAAATTATATCTATATTAATATTATTCTTCATTCTTATTCAAAAGAACGTCCCGTCATCATATATTAATGCATTATTATTTAAAACACATAAATAATTTAATAATTCCGACAATAATCTGTATACATGATACCGTCTATAATTATTCCCTTAAAATTCGTTCAGACGTTTAATCATAAAAAGGTAACAAATAGACAAACATACTTTCAGATCTATATATAGAAATTATAAAAAAGGTTACGGGTATTTAACAAACAAATCAATGTGTTAATTAGCCGTGCGAAGGCAGGTCTTGCCGTTAGTTTAAAATATTAGTGTTATTGATACAGATACTGAAATGTTAACAATATAATCTAACTACAATACCGTTTATGTCGCTCCGCTCGACATCCAACGTTGTGTTAATCCCTAGTGAATTGGCCACGATGGGTTAACTGAACTGACTCATGCTCATCCAGTCATCTTCCACTACTTCACTAACGTACATAGTAATCGCACTGCAGAATTTCAATTTCATCTACTAAGAAGTAATAAAAGAAATTAAATACATTATAACGTTTGCTCAGATTTTTATCACACGACAGTATTCAAACAAAAAATATCGCATCAAAATCAGTCTCATCAGAAACATTTTTATAAATTGTATTATGGATGATAATGGAGTGGTCACCAGTGGAGAATAATAAGATGAGCATGGGTCAGGTCAGTTAGCCCATCGCGACATATTCACCAAGAATTTATCAGAATGGTGTCCAGGAAGAACCGCGTAAACCTGTCAAGGTACATTGCTAGCAATAAGATCATCAATCCACATTACTAACAATCCCCTTTCCCCCTCATCAGTAACATTGAAACGAATGCGTTTAAAAGTTATGATGATATAGACAGGCAAAGACACATAGACATGAATAAGCCTTCTTTTGCATCGCGGCTTAAAATAAAAATGTATCTTGCCCATGTCGTAACGTCAGTGTCCCTTCTTATAAATGTAAGGCTTAGAAACGAAGGTGGTAGAAATATTCGCCGAGTACATTAAAATCAATAAAATTATTTTTAGACCGTGTGCCACATTGTACGTTAATGACAGATCCTTGGTTTGCTACTCATTTGCATTTTATAAATATTTTAGCGTTAGAATAGATACACATATGTATATATGTGTATCTATTCTATCGCGAAAGTTTGTGAGTATGGATGCATAGATCGGTGGATATATGTTTGTTACTGTTTCACACATAAACCAGTGAACGGATTTTGATGAAACTTTACTATAATACAGTTTAGACATCAGAAAAACACATACGCTACAATTTAAAAAAATATTATGATAATTGGGCGAAATATAATGATAAATGTCAAGTAAGTGTAATGCAGACGAAGTTGCGCAGGTCAGCTAGTTAGAATATAATGGAAGATGTATGAGAAAAACCATTATTGGTGGATTTATACAGATAGATAAGTTTTTTCGTATCTAAGTACCACAAGGTTCAATTACAAGCAGTATATATTTATTGCGTTTAGTTAAGGTTTTGTTGGCGGTTACTTGTACACCTTACGAGCGTATCGCACCAAAAGTTTGCACAGATTGTCTTTTCTATCTACCAGTGTCCGTTGCCCCACGACATTTATTTGGGAAAGATGGCGCTGCTAATTCGGGAGCGTAACACAGTGGCGCTCCCAATTAATTTTCTTATGATACAGGCGACAAAACCGACAATTTATTCCGGTAATAAAACTATACTTATAAAAATCCATGACACATTATAGAATTTATATACCAATACGACTGAATACATGTATGTCATAGTAATACATAATGGCTAATAGCTCCGTGTCACTCGAGCAAGGATTTTCAGCTTAAATAGAGTAATGTTGAATACGCTATTTAAAAAAAAAGTAAATATATATACCTATGTGAATATGTATATATGTACATAATTACATATATTAATTTTAAATAACATTGAAATTATGATAGAAACTTGAAACTGAAATGACCGATTGGTATATTATTATCAACCTATATATATATATTCTTTATCAATATACTACAAATACCATGTATGTCTCAATATAGCCGGGCTCTCGTAACAGACAAATACATAACATCTTCACGGCTCTGGAAGTCAATCCGTGACCGCACACAAATTCTTTCTAATAAATATACTTTAAAAAACGTTTATGCTCATCTATTAAGTTTGCTGTCACAAAACAAGTTCTTCATACTGAACGCTTTCTGAACGTCGACTATTCGCTACCGAATGCCTATATTCGTAGCATTAAATCTGCCGTTATGACACATTTCTTTGGTAGCGATTGCCTCTAACATCCAAACCAAACGACGACCTTGGTGGGTAGTATGATTGTTTGTATCAGTCTTGGTTTTTTTCTATGTATAGGGACTAGACTATCTAAAGACAAAATGGCGCTGTGTGAATTGTCAACCTTTACCTTGTTATAACATTACTACACATTATTGTGAAATATCGATTGAACAACGGAAAGATTACAATGTGCATCGACATAATGACCTAAAAGGCTGCAGCCTTAATACAAAATTTACAGCCAGCCCTGATTTAACCCACATAATAAACGCATTCATACATACAGGGGTATAATTTAGCTTCTAATAATTTATTGGACTTCAAATGGTTCATGCATAACTTGACAGTCAGCCCCAGTTTAAGTGGGACAGTAGCGCATTCAGACGACGCAAAAATATTCCCCTTTGCACACATTTGTATTCTCTATAATTGTATATGTTTCAGCATTTTACTTTTAATTACTAATACGGAGTTGGATTTCTAATTCTTCTGTTGCAATTTTGTTTATTGAGGGTTTACGCTATTTTCAGGTTCTTAGACCTGTAACACTGCGCCGGACATATACCAATTGTGCTCGCCCTTTTTCAGAGTTCGCTACCTAGACACGACAGGAACAAGAATTGAATCTAAATAAGATTAAATCAGTCATAGTGATTAGCTAAGATACTCATCACGAGTATGACCGATGAACCAATCATCTCTGTGTTCGACCATATTTTAGGGACCCCAAAGACCCGGTCCACCACGCAACCACATGTCTGGACATTTCGTTTTTTGGATTTCGGATCATAACGGATGTTACGAGGTATCAATATTCTTCAAATTATTCTAAATGCACAAATTCATGCACAAACATGCATTATAAGCAAACTATCTATAAAGATCAATGATACACTTACGTAACAAAAAGCTCCAGAACGCACGAGTAACAGAGATGAGATAGCGAAGATTAGGGTAGCAGAGATAACGTAGCCGCGTCCAGTCGCGGTTGGCTCCCGAAGATGTGGATCTGCTGCTGACGCCGCCTCGATGTCTGCCGCCTCCGCAACGCCGCCGACGACGCTCCCCGTAGACCCGACGCTCGTAGACCCTTGCTACTGCAACTCTGCTACTCGACTTTGGAGTCGATGAACCCGTGTCTTTAATCTGCATGCAAGATAATAATAACATATAACTTCATATTTTTTTAAACAATTGTTCTCTTGAAGAAATCTGGTATTTCAGGTTTAAAATAGTAGGTTATAAATCATATTGTTTCAAGAATTATTCAAAAGAGCAAGATGCAAGTTTGTTTTTAGTTACTCTTGTAAGGAAACAGCTTTCTAAATGTTTTGTAGATTAAAATAATGAGTATGACTATTCAAAAGTGCTTAAACTTACGTTTATTCGAATTGTCTATTCTATTATATTGTCTCCTTATTTTATTGTTGTATTATCTATGCAATAACAAATATATAAAGACATAGACATATTTCATGATTGCATTAAATACCTCACAATACGTATACACCATAAAAAAAGTTGAATTGTTAATCTAATTTTTTGAAATCGACTTTAAATAGAGATATGTGCATTTAAGTATCGTGTAGCACGCAATCTAATTAGTGTACAATATGTAATTAATTAATGCATCTACTTATAATAATTTCAATTTATACATTTTATGAGTCCATACATTTTAGGGTCCAGTCGTCAATACAGTGTTGGCTGAATTTATTCACTGATGATGATGGTGGACCCAGTGACTGTTACCACATATCACATATGGGGTATCCAGGGGCATTCTCAACTGACCATGTTGTGGTGAACGGAACATTGGCATGGCGAATGAATAAGAATAAAATTATGTAGCTCAGAGACGCATGTGAACGGATTTCATTTCGCTCCATTACTAACACTACCTACTCTCCCCGACGACCAAGTCTTTTATACTGTGTCGCAAAGCATTATATTGAAGTAATATTCCATTCGTCTCTGCCAACTAAATTCTTGGACAGCATTGACGGCAAGAAGACAATAGAATAAAATAACATTTATTACATCTCACATAACAACAATAACGATGCTTACAGCAGTATGGTAGTAGATATATAAATTATTACACAAAATAAAGTAAATAAAGTAACGTATTAAATTAGAAATGATATCTTTACATAAAAAAAAACAATAGAAAAACAAATACCAAATAATAATAAGGTAAAATGCATATGGCCTCCGCCACTGTGGAGTGATGCGTCACTGTGTACTGATGCGTGTGTAAGGATATAACGAGCAGTCAACTACACACACTGGACTTCCAATATCCTAACTCTATTCAATACCTGATGATGCGTCGTTGAGAGGTGAAACACGTGACCCGATATGGGTGCAGACTCAATAACGGTTGAAATTTAATCACGATCATAGGAGGTCGTAACGGTAGTCAAGTTTCCACACAAGTATTTGTGGTCTTCAAACACACTTATAGCGGAATTAAACAAAATATTATAAACCCATTAAGTAGTGAAATGTACTTTCGGAAAATAGCACAAAATAATTCTCTAAAATATATAAAAATATCTGCCTTTTATGAAATTTTATATGCATATTCAGTAGGTCTAAGAATCGGCTGCTATCTATTTTTCATACCCCTGAGTGATAAAGTTGTACACCGGTAACATTTTTTTTTATTTTTAGAATATTTTATTTTTTATAATGTGGCTGTAAAAAATACATACAACCTTAAATTTATATTTAACCCTAAATGATTGAAACCTGAAAAAGCGGATGAATTAACAAGAAATTACTATGTATTGAACCCAAATACGCGTAGCAGTACAATATTAGTTTATATAATATTATCAAATGTTCGCTAACTAATTAACTTTTTGCATCCAATACATTTTTTACACAAAGTTTCATAAACGGCAATAATTAGCCGTAATTATTAATTTATAAGGTCATTAGTTTCTTGCGGCGTATTTTCACCAAATCCAAATAATTGACAACCTCCATGGTCTAGGGGTTCTTTCTCTTATCGTTAGTAGATTGTTTAATAATTTCTGTTATCGTGGATTGTATTAGGAGGAAGGGGAAAATTAGTATTTGTTAGTAATGTGGACTAACGAACTCACCGTTAGCAATGTACGATTTCAGGTTGACATTCACCCGATTTACCCTGAAAACCATGATGGTAAATTCCTGATGAATTTGCCATATCTTATCATCCTCCACTGGTGACCCGGCAGCATAAACTATTAACACAGGCGGGTGCACTATTACATTATCATCAATTAAAAAAAAATACATTTATATTCATGAGTTTTTTATTCATATCTACTGGAATTGGTCAAGTTGTTTTGACGACCACCCTATGGACAAGATCTATTTAGTTTTGACGACACTTAATAAAAACAATAAACTAAAGCTATTAGTATTGGAAATAGTGAAAAACAAAACTCATTAAAAACAACGACTATTCAACCTACAATTAAAGTATATAAATACAGTATGTAATCCTTCCAGAAAAATCTTCCAGAAATCCTTTAGGTACAAGAAATAGATATGAGTTTATAGAGATAGAATTTAGAGTTTAGAATAATCATACCGTAACAGTATGACAAACAACTCAGTTTTGAGTTTACATTAGTTATTATCTGCTGCACAAACGTCTATTGTTACATTGTGAAATACAATTAAACTTTAAACGTGTTGCTACTGGCCCGCGTCAACTTCATCTAGTCCCAAGCTAAGCGGAGCTAGTATTGTGGGTACTATACAAATGATATAAATATATATTTAGAATACTCAATGTAGATATTGAATGTGGATGGATGCAAAGGGGTAGGGGACGCCCTAAGATAAGATGGATGGTTTGTGTGAAAGATGATATGAATAAAAGAAGAGTATGCTCTATGCAGTGCTCTTTATCGGTCGTCATGTCTGAGACGACCGATAAAGAGCAGTGGAAGAGAAAGACATACTGCGCCGACTCCGGACCGACATTATCCCAAATAATGGGATAAAGGCAAGGCAATAATGATAAACACAGTGCAATAAATTGTACAAACATCCAGGATAATTCAGGATCAACTCAGTCAAATGAACATATAACCAGAATATAATATAACGCAAGCAATGTACCATGTCAGTTTACACTGTCTTTTTCCTTAATGTAATATAATATGGCCGAAGTCACTGCATTCTTCCTAATTAAATTTAAAAATTAATTTATATTTTTGTTATAATATACAAGCAAATTTGAAAAGAATAAGAGCTGAATTTCTTTTCAGTTCTTGTTAGTTCCGAAGCACTGCCAAATTATGGTATATCTGATATGTCAAAACTACTAGAGTAAAGATTTCTTTATTTTATTATAAATCAGTACAGTCCTTCCGTTACTTTATGTTTTCGTAATAAAGTTCGCGCTTTTTATTATTAGTATAGGATAATTACAAAACAAGCCCCAATGGCGTAGATATTTTTGATCGGATCAATCTGAAAGCACTGATAGTCAGGAACTGTCGGGCGTCTTGGCCGACCGACATGGGAATTCAATTAGGCACTGGATAATTGGAAGTCCCCTAGCGCCCTCTACCACAGCCTAACAGTTACTATACTATAGGTACAGCTGAATAACCTTCGCAGGCAAGACAGGCTTCACAAACGCACAGAATGAGGAAATTCGATTATACTGAAACACTATCTTATCTATCGTTAATACTGGAACAGATTGAAATATAGATCCAAGTTAGGACGGTATAAAGAGTGATTCATTTCATTCATTCAGTATTGGAGTAACGTTAAAAGTAACGTGAGACGAACTATCCATACATACTAATTATTGAACGTTACAGTAACGTTACTAATATACGTTATACGTATACTAATATACGTTAGGAATACGGAGACTATTAATTTCTTCTTTTACATATACCTATGTGGCAGAACTGCGTACAGAATATAGTGGTTCTATTTAAGGACAGTAGGTAGATGTAGAGGACTGTCATGGTCAAATTAGAACTTATAACTTGTGCTCAAAAGTAAACATGATTATATTAAACTTCTAGTACCTACTTACATTTTATATTCTAATTACATTTATTCTTTTTTCTTTTTTTTATTTCTTTACCATTCAATATTTACTTTAAGCTTATAGGTACAAATCATATTAATTAATTAAAAATATGGTCGTAATCTCACTGAGAAACTAGTTGGTGTCGTAGTCACTAAAATCTAGTTTTGCGTGGCGTGCTGGCGAACGGTTGTTGTTGACGCTAACATCTATGTTCACTTCCCTATGCTCCATTAAAGTTGTCATTATATAACGTATAATTAAATTTTGACTCCGAGCGGAACGGGTTACTAACAGAATCAATTATACTTAAAAATATTCATTGGCGATAATTTAAGGAACATCTATGAAGTAACTACAAAACTACATAGTACTATTGTTATAAGTAACAAGAACTTTTTCCAACAAGTACTATTTAAATAGATATAACCCAACTTTAAAAACAAAGTTTTTAATGAAGAAAGGCTATATTAAAGAGTTATAATAAAATATAATGTAAAATTACAAATAACAATAAATATTTTGTATATTTATTGTTATTTTTGGTTTTGTATACTGTAAATGAATTTTGTTTTTTTAACTGTTATAACTTGTAACTATGTTACTGTGAATTTTTAGACATTGTTTTTGATTTCAGGTTTTTGTGCATATATTGTACCTCAATTTTGTTAATATCGATGCAATACTTTATTGTTATGAATGAATTAAAAACTATCTAAGTGCTACAAAATAACCCATACCAAAATCTGCAGCTTTGAATCTAATACAAATGAGAATTGTCTATAACTGGGTAACATAATTAAATGATGTTTATGAACTACGTTTATCCGACGTAGATACGATTCGGTACTTAATCGAGTCTGATAATGAGATCGTACATTCGATACCTGGTTTAATTTAGGATTATTTGGAATGTAACTCATCGGGATGAGTTGCGATTTACTCGAATCGTGGTCAATCAAATATGTGAAATACTCGTATACTCGTAACTAGCTGAGCCCGATACTGCATAGTCCGTATAACTTTATTGAATAAACACCTATTGAAATAAAACAAACATCAAATCTTTAATGTAGCTTACACACATAGCTTA